ATGCGAATCCAAAGAAGACTACAATTGAAAAGTAAGTGTGGGTCCGAAGTATCTAAACGATCTATCAGGCTTGGTTTACCGTTATCACAATATTCCACATGATACTGTCCAAAGTGAGCAAGTTATTCACAGTAAGACTTGAGAGATGGAAACAGATCCCAAGACAATCTCTGATTTTGTATTACTTGTTAGACAATCTCATTAGTGAAATGCATACTTCTCCTAATCATAAGAAATTACCGGTTTGCGAAAAATTTGAATCACGAATAACGCCAAGGTTATATCACTGGAAGCGCGTATGCACGCGGATTGCACAGTAGATTCTTAGAAAAGCAGTGGTGTAAACTTTGATTCGATCAAGCAACGATCGACTAATAAGATCTTCTCTTGTTCTCTTTCAATTTTGAAAGAATAGCAGGCGAAAGTAGACCATGGCGCGGATAGCCCAATGAAATTCAGGACCACAGAAGTCAGTCACAACCCGAAATGTGTGATCGCTTACGTTCTGTCGGATTTGAATACCTACCTAATTAACAATTTTGCAATGGCCAAAGTCCGGTCAACTGAGTTTGCAACTTATGGTCTATGATATAGTTCATTTCCCCAGGGACTACAATCACATGAAAAAAGAAATAAAGGACACTATTTGCGTGCCGGTGCTTTGCTTCAGCGTAAATACCACCGGTCGCAGGCGAGCTAAGGATAATATGAAGGTCGCCCTGCACCTATGCGTGCTCGTTACCTTTAGTCTACGAGCCGGCACGTATGAAGGGACTGCTGCAATGTCGCTCGGGATGCTCCTCTTTTGCAAACAAATGTAATGCCGCTAAGCGCACAAAACAGTGGACCATCATCACTTAGCATGAATCCAGGCCCAACGATAACCCGAGCTTGTACCTTAACAAAAAGGGCACCACAAATAACGCTCTAACTTTGATGTACACAAATGCTTTTGTAATTGTTAGTGTTGCTGTTTAGAACAAGATCAGTAGCAAGAACTTTCATTTTGTTTAACGTAAAAGTAAAACCCACAAATCAAGTAAGTTAATCATGATCCTGAATTCTGCACGATTTGAAGAAAATAGGGCTATTAGAATAACATTGGAATCGGCCATGGATGTAGAATACATTTTATTCTCCACAACCGCACCACAACACAGGCCTTGTAGGTTACGCATGAAGATGGACTTCCCCTCTAGCACTCGAAAACCGAAAAAAACATCACAGACGGACACAGTAAGCAAACTGCCTAAGCGCAATTTTTATTTCTGGCGTGCTAGAATTTCTTGCCCACGATGGGTTTGATGCCAGTAATCACGAGTTGAAACGTGGCGTTTCTTTCCTGAAACACTTTACTTGGACATCTTGTTGCACGTATGTTCAAAGGAATATCCCACACAAACGCTTATAGAGCAAGCAAATCAAGCTTCTTAAAACTATTGGTTCAGTCAGGGCAGACAGCAAAGGAAGTGTTAGAAAATTGGTGGAGACATCGGAAAAGCTTTCCATCTGCATTTCGGTTAAAATACGCTGAAGTCTAGCAAAGACTAGATTGGAGAAAAGCTGAACAAGAAAAACTACCAGCGATACCGCTGGACATCCCTTTGCCGCACGGTCACGCGATTCTACACTATGTCCGGACAGGCAAATAGACGTAGCTTGGACAAACGAACTTGAAATTACGTGATATCGTTATCCCATCCAAATAAGGAATAACAGCCGAGCTCGCGTCATTCGGTATTATACCACACTTGTTAGCTTAAGCTCCCTGGGGGCTCCTAGAGACCAAGAAACTAACCTGCCCTCGTACCAATTATCAAGGCCATTTTAATAGGCAGGCCAAACATAAGGCACCAAATTTCAAATTCATGCAATATCATCAGTGTTACGCAGACATGGTCGCACACTTTCAGCGCTAACCTCAAACTGCTTTACCAGTATGTCATGGACTGTCATAAGTTAAGACAGAGCATTAATCCGCTACGGACAACCAATAGTTTAAATAGAACAGACATATAAGCAGCAAACGCGTCGTAGACAAAAGATCATCCCACATCTCAGAGATTCCAACCATCAGTTCATCTTATTGCTTTGTTTTCTTTCCTCCAAGACCAACCAGATCACTCTTACTGCCGAAGCTCTATGCCAGATGCGGAGGTCTGCGCGACCCCATCTCCCTAGGAGAATAGGAAGTTCGCCCAGAGGCAATAAGAGCATCAGCAAGACAATTGACAAAAGTTTGGCCTAGTCATTTCATGGCCGCTTAGACCAGAATGAGATTCCTGCGATGTGGAAACTTGAAATGGTAATTCTGATCCTCAAAGGCGGAAATAGGACTGAGTCCTCAAACTATCGCCAATTATCTTATCCACCTGAATTGTCCAGGGTTATGGAATCGATCGGTACATTTGCGTTTGTGTATTATCTAGGATAGCGTAAGGTTATTGCTCGTAAATAACGAGATCTTCATCTACCACGATTGTGCACAGCGAATTTTCGAATCGCACCGAGTAGTTGAACCGAGTCAGCTGACGCTGGTGAGACCGTTCTTGTGCTCTACTTAGATTTGTCCAAGGCGTTCGCTCGGTTAGATCATCGGATTCTCCTATCGAAGCTCTAAATTTTCGAGATCCTTGATCTTATTTTGGGCTGTATCGCAAGTTTCTCCTGCAACCACTATTTTTGGTCAGAGTCCGGAGTTCCTTACCTGAACCCAAACCAGTCAAGTCTGGTGTGCCCTAGGGCTCCGTTCTAGGTCCCCAGTTTCCTTTAGTATTCATCAACGACTTTGCACGTACAGCCGCGTAAAATTCCCTGCTGTTCCCTAAGGAAATCAAGGTATGGCGCAAAATTCAGAAGGATGCTGATCAGAAGTTATTATAGTGTAACCTAAATATATTAAATGAGTGGCCAACAAGAAATCTGCTAAAATTCAATTTAGGCAAATACAAGGTAGTATTCATACAGAATCAAAAAACCCATGGTTACAAGGTAGGAAGGCAAGCACCGTAGCGATGATCACTCGAAGGCGACCATTGGATGCTGGTTTAAGATACCTTGGATTGTTCCATGCGATCTGCAAAGGCATGAAAAACTGGTACTTGACACGTTGGCTTGTTTCCACTTGCGTTCCGACAACTAGACACCACTATTTGGGGACAGATGCTCAATGAGCATGTTAGGCTTGGTGTCATAGCAGAAGAACAACGTAACTACACTGAATCAATGTCAACGTCGGAAATATAACTACGTCATTGAAATGTGCCAACTTCCATACGAGCAGAGGCTGAAATGTTTGGGAGTATTCAGCGGGCGTATTCATCATTATGTACTTGATTTTACGAAATACAAATCATGTGTGCCGCTCTATAATCCAACTCGGCAGCACTACCAAACTTAGGAACCACTCCTTGAAACTGACGGAACAGTACAGCCATCTGTAATATCGTAATATTTATTTCATATTCACATGTGTCAATCATGGCACGCTGTCCCCGGATCGGTTGTTTCTGCGCCCACGCTAGGCCTAATTAAAATTCGGTTGGACGACACACTCCGCCAGTTACATTTCGCTACTTGAAGCTACTCTCCATCCTATTCCCAGGAAATAGCTTGGATTTGTATTGTTGCCAACTGAACCTATGGAAACTCTCGAAATGCTGTGTTAGTACATAACGATCAGCCCATACGTTTGACAGCACAACTACTTCCTATATTTGTTTTCATTAACCTCATTTAATAACATATCAGACTACCCAACGAGACTAGTTAAGCTGTGCTTCTTAACCCGTATGAAATCGTTATTCATTGTTCAATGTTCGTCAATTGCTTAGGAACTAAGAATGATGGCGAACAGGACAGGTCCTTGGTGCTCAGTAGCTGAGTGGCCTTCCTGACACAACATCAGCATAGCATATGTAATGCCTGGGAGATGTTGACATTTGCAATCGTGTTCCTGCACACGTTCCTTACAGAATCGATATGTCCTTCTTGGTCACGTAAATTTTAATGCCGAATTGATGACGGATTCTCAGTTAGCATGATGAATTTGCTACCAAGTGGGTCGTAGCGAAACTGCCTGTTGACATTCACATAAGTAAGCCTTCATTTTCGTGTGGGATAATAATTTTGTTCTTTTTGTGAAAGGTTTCGGTTGACATGTGTGGTGACCTTCCTATCAGTTTGCTCAGAGAACAGTGATCCTAAGCTGGTTGCCAGATCCATCGCACCGCATCCGCTTGATTGCATCATATAGGAAAATTCTTCAACGCAGTCAAGCTTAACAACGGGTAGAAAACTTACAGCTTGCTTTGATTTGCTGAGGACTCCGCTATCGAAGAAGTGAAGCTAAACTTCTGCAAATAGCTGAAGTTTTCGATAAGCATAGCCGTTCCCTGGTATGGCGTGTCCCTCATCAGCACGGTCGATGAACTTTAATGATTTGACGGCATATTATTTGCTATCTCAATTCCTATTAAGTTACAATATTTATTCTCTTAGTTTTATATGTGTAGGTATAATACAGAAGATACGAACTAATCTGAATTCGTTTTCCTGCCGAAATGCTGTTCGTTGTTGCTTCTCTTAACGTTTTTGAAGAGAAACCGTTGCAATTGCTTTGTGCATTAAGGCATTCGCTTTTTTAATGCTGTTTGCCCCACTTATGTTTTGTTTTGCTTATGTCCATGTTACGAGTACTTTCAGCTGTGTTATATTGTAGACACATTTATCTTATCAGTCATGATGTGACAAATAAGGACCTTGAAATCGTAAGCAATATAACAATGCTGAGTCGCACCTTGTTATTAATTTGTAGCTAGTTTTAAACAACAATACAAGTGGAACCATCTCAAAATTAAGTCAGCATGTCATTAACAAATTATTCTTATGTTGCTTTTCCGTTTGTTTTAGTTATTCATACTTAGCTTTTAATAAAATATCAACGGTAAGTCTTTGACAAATATTAAGCACAAATACGCCTGTCAAAGCAGAAAACTTACCAGGTGGTTCATAACTCACAACTGTTGTGATCGCTAATGTTAACAAAAACAGAAGCGACATTTCCATTTCGATCACGTACCGGATACCTTGTTTTAGATTGCTTTCTGTTTTGTCCTCTACCCGATTTGTGCTAATAAACTGATGCAGTTTTGCTACGGAGCCAATCAGAATTGCACGGCTTCATGCGAAGAGAAGTAAGAGGTGGTTGGTCCAAGAGCAACAAGAAGCAATAGCACTGATATTGCCAAGTCAAGTACAGTCAAAAAAGTGTTTTATGCACCCTTGAATGGTGAATATTCAACTCTAGCACACTGGCCTCGAAATAAAATAACTAATGAAAGGGAATAGGACATGCAGATAAACCTAAAACCACAATCATTAAAATAAATTTGACAGTGCAACTAGTGCTGAAGTAGTTTACTACACAGTTCTTGAATGACTGAAATTGTATCCTTCAGAAAATATAACAGGAAAGAAACTACAGAGTTACCGTAAGCCCATGTGCACGTGTATGCCATTTTGTAAGTCTGTCTGCTTGAGGATGCTAGCAATCACACAGACCCGGTTCTGCGAAAGAGATGGCTAACATCTGTGAGTATTTTAGATACAAACGTGTTACATTGATGTTGACAATTTCCATTCTTGAAATTTCCCTTTTGATTTCTTCACTCATCTGACAATTATTTAAGATCCTAACTCAGGAGAGTACAAAATATAACTAAAGTACAATAGTTAAAGTAAGGCAATAAACGTGTATTGGTAGAAAGTTGGTTCAAAACTCTGGGTAGAGAAGAAGACATGTGAGGTGTAACATAGTATGAGAAACATCCAACCTTAGCGTTTGGTTCATTCACATAAAGTGACCAAGTAAGCCCACAGTTCAGCGTCATTCCCATGTATTTTCCATCATTAAAAATATTCCAGAAAGAAAAAGGATACCCAATAAAACATAACAGCATAAATTTCAGTTAACGATACTCACATACGTAGTGTATTATGTCTTGCCGAATGCCAGTAGCAAGAGAACCACCAGCAATCTAATGCAGTCTGAAAGCATTTTCTCAAGTAATTAATAAGCAAAATTCGTAAAAATAAATAAGTGACTAGATGTTTCTAGGCGCAGTCGAAGTGCTTTTTCTGGTCATTATGTTTAACGGAATCGCACAGAATCTATACTATTTAGTTGCTAGGAAACTTATAACGTATTTTGTATGGAAATTAGGACGCTTTCTTGTAGTGAATACATCTTTTATTGAATAATATAGCGTCGTTGCGGGCCCGTCAAATATTCCCGCAAAAACGCGTCAGAAGCCCCGGCAGAATGGCTGTGGAAAGCGAGATTCCATTCCTCCCCACAACGCAGCGGCGTTCAGCCACTCCGAGACGCGGTCCCACTGCGCATCTTTTGACAACGGTCTTATATAAACTACCACCTAGTCGTGGTAGAAATTTTCCTTAACTTAATGACCCATAGCATTGGCTGTGATTCGCTCTTTGTCGTAAAAGGACCTTCAGAGGACCATTTGCCTTTTTTCCTCTACGCCTCAGTGGGAGTCGGCCGGTCACGTGATTTTGTGTGCGTCGTTAGCCGAGCAGCGTTTGCATCTAAGTCATTAGCGCGCGTCTATCGTGACCCCTCTCTTGTGCGTCCGTTTCGAGGGCTCAGCGCCTATCCGAATACGTGCGGCTAGGATAGTTCTCTCGTTCGCTCAATTTCCGTTTCATCAGCTAAGCTAACGCCATCAGGTCAGCGCCAATCCGTTCGGTTTGAAAGCATTACAATCCGTTACCATAGGCGTGCTCCGATCTCGCCAGTGGCAATCTTATCAGTGGTTTACGCAATCATAGCAGAGGCGTTCCCCTCAATTATAAAAAGCTTGCACTCTGGTTCAGTACATTTTGCCATATTTCAGCCAATAGCATCATTCCACTGTCATACAGGTTTGTTCTTTTCAAGCAAAACTGATGCAGGCAAGTTTTGACCTCCTCCTTTGGAGTAAGTTTTAAACTTTCTAAACCATTTGTAGAGGAGAAGTATAATCAGAACGTAGCAGATGTAGAGAATAAGTTGGGAGTAGCGGTGTATCTCATCCAGGCTGTAAAAGTTTAGGAAGAGTTACCAACTCGTATGACGTCTTGCATTCTGTTAGTCAAACTCGGCACATTTGCCATTGCAAATTCTGACCAATTTTACATGAATCAGTCAATGTGTTTAGCTAATGACAGCGAAAATAAAGTTGATAATTGTGTTGTCCTACAAACAAATAACATCAACAGTTTTAATGAATGTCGCCTTTCTTCTTCTGCTTTTTCTTCTTCTTCTTCTTCTTTTTACCCCATCATCTCTTGCGCTTACCATCATTGTAGAAAAACCATTTCTCGTTCTCAGTGATGATGAACTTCAGATGTGGATTTGTTCTCTTGACGTCTAGAACAAATGAAGTCAACGCGTCGGCACACATTTCTTTTCGTAAAAACATGTTGAACGCATATGTCGAGTGTTGAGATAAAGCCTATGCGTCTCAAATAATCATAAACTGCCGAGTTCCATAAATTCATGCTCTCAGCTATCATGCAATTTGTTATTCGTCAGTTTGGAACAATTAAACCAAACTAATTAATTAACCAAGTGCTTAATTGATTATTGCCGAATAAAATTTTATGAACAATATTGGCACTGGCGTTCTGTCAAAGGTCTTCTCAATAATCATGGGATACATATTTTATTCATTGAACAACATATTTAAATGTTAAATAGTAGAATAGGAATACCTGTCGAGAATGCTTCTTGTCACTCCCCTTATTTGAAAGAGCACCCGCCGAAACAAATTCTTAGAATCAAAAGATCTTTGGCGCTAACGAGTCTTGTCAAACCACCTGTCTATATATATAAAACTTATGCGGATGAAGTGCAAAATTGGTTGTTGGTGGCTCCCTGCACCAATGGATCAGGAAGCTCCTTTTTTATCGGATGTGGAGGGTCCAGGTTACCAACCATTTAACCGACTGGTATCCATCGAGCAGTGGCGTGCCCCAAGGCACTGCACTGGGGCCGATTTTATTTCTGATCCATGTAAACGATGTGCTTCAGTTACTCAAATCCCCTTGTGCGTTGTTTGCAGATGACTTGAAGGTGTGGAGAGTAATCCGAACAACCATTGATTGTGATTTGATTCAACAGGACCTCGACCGCCTCTCCATGTGTTCCGCATAGATCAACCTTCCGATCAACCCCGTTAAGTCGCAATTCCTGGAGCTGGGTAAGTGTGAGCACAGTCGAACATACACGGTAGCTGGTCAAACGTTGCATCCCGTGCCTTTTGTGCGCGGCCTCGGTGTACTCTCACGCCGCGACCTAAAATCCATGGACAATACGAATAGGCTTTACCAAAACAGCCTTCGTATGCTTTGGGCGCTCAGGCGCAGCTTCAGCACTTAATCCGGAGTAATTGCCACTCTCCTCCTCCTTCTCAATAATATGACTAATGCTAGAGTATGGCTCTCCCGCGTATTGTCCTATCACCTGGAACGAAGTAGAAAAGATTGAGCGAGTACAGCATGTAGCCAAGTGGTTGATTCCCAAGTTATAAGGTGTGTCGTATGAAGTCCGGTGTAAGAAACTATGGCTGTACACCCTAGCTTATCGTCGACTGAGGGTTGACATCTTCCCAACTCACCGGATATTACATCTGGGTGATTACCCCATGTTGAAACCGAAGCTTCATCCGCGAAAACCAAGCGGCACACGAGGACACCGGTATAAGCTTGTCGTACCGGATTTGAAGCGGGACGCTCACCAACTATGTTTCAAACGCAGATTGGTGAATGTATGGAACGACTTGCCACAGCACGTAGTAGAGTCAAAGTCAGTGTCGGAATTTAAGAATTTCCTTGATGAACACTTTGCCGACGCAAAATCTAGGGAGCGGAACACAATATAACGGGTATTTGTCTATGAGTGAACATTATTGCAGCTACAGAGTGCAAGTCCTACTCGCCGCTTCCAACCAGTAGTCAGTAATTAATAAACCGAGGAAATAATAATGATTATCGAGCAGCATAGTATTTATTGAGTTTTCCAAAGCAGTTATCAAACTATTTTACTGGGCTGACTGATAGGTTGCATCTATCAAACAGATAGTCAAGTTGATAAAATTAACAATAACTATAATAATAACAGTAATAATAACGTTTGTAGAAAAATCCAAACATTTTAGTAAAGCAATACTGCCTACGGCTGCTTCCATGCAAAATAATTCCTCTAACATTTTCACCAGCGCTTCCGTGTTTATTCTGAAGTTGTGTCGGTGTGGATCAAAGTTTATCCAACACAAACTGTACTAAACTTTAGGGATCTTTGTATAGGTTTTTGAACACCTTTGTATAGACACTCAGTACACATAGCCACTACCATAAATTGGTTTTTGTATCAAGCACTTTTTTACTCGCCAGAAAGTCTAGGGTAAATTATCATGCATGGGTCCATTTTATTAATTTGGAAACTCCAATCAGTCACCTCATGATAGCAATCTAGTCGTGGCCAACAATGCATAAAGCTAATATAGAATATGAGGAGTTAAAAGGTATGTACGTTAATGACGAGAAATATGAGATTGTTGTATTTAAATACCGCTATGAATTACTGACGGATTTCTCGAACAAATTGTACGGTGCGATGGCCGTAATAGATGGCTGCTCGAATTACTGATATGCAAGGCAATCTTGAGAGGTATTTTAAGCCTTATCCAAAAGTAGCATACCTTCACAAGAAACAGGAGTTGATATCGCGGAGCATTGAAAACTACTATATGCCACTTGTATGCTGCCGCCTAGAGAACAAAAGAATCATTTAGTATTAAAGGACGAAAGTAAAGAAGATAATGGCAAAGGAAAATGGAAAGCCATAAATCTCGACGAGGTGAGATACAGATTTAGCTTGAGCTCTTCGCATTTCGGAATTTAAGATGATTGAAAACGGAGTGTGATTAGGCTTTCATCATTAGAAGGAGGTTCCGAATGGGTGTTCCAATAGAAGCACAAGTGTATAGGAATCGGCATTGTCTTGA